AAAAGTACTAAAGTACTAAAACTGCAATTCCTGCATTCTTTTTGTGTTCACAGGATGTGAAGCCAAGTGTTACCAGGGTTATCGTCATTGACCACCTGATGCTCAACCCCGCCCACGACATCTACATCCTCGTCCATGCCCAGATCAGGTACCAGGTGGAGAAGCTGAAGCAGGGCAAGATCACGGGTGAGTTCTGCCAGGAGGTGTTGGGAAAAAACCAGAAGTTCCTGGAAGCTTTCTGAAAGCTGAACTTTTCCTTGAAGTTCCTCGGAGTGCAAGGAAGATCTGTAAAATTTTTATGTTCCTGAGAAACTTTTCACATTACTTTTTGTGAAGTTTGTGGAAACTCCTGGAAGTGCTGGGATAGTTCCTGGAAGATCTTCAAAATTCTTGAGTGTTCCAGGAAGATCTTGGCTGTTCAGAGCTCTGTTCCTGGAAGTTCAGAGAATTCCCTGGAAGTGCTGGGAAGTTCCTGGAAGTTATTGGAAGCTGTGTTCAGAAGCTGTAGAACTAGTTTTTGGTCTCTGCAGGACATCGGTGTTCTAATTTAGTTTTTCTCCTCTTCTCCGACCCCCTCGTAGTGGTTCCCATGCCATCCACACAGTACAAGCTGCAGATTAAGGACAGCAGCATAGCCAGTCTAGAGGATGCTACATCAACGGTAACCGGTGTGTCACTGGGTACCACCGAGGTTGTTCTCCGAGATAAGAGTATCCTTTAAAACAATCAGTGTCTAGATTTAAATCTCAGATAAAGGAGTTTACCCGTAGGTTAGACAGCTTTATCTGTTTCATTTTTTTGTTTTAAACCGTTGATCGGGACTTTGAAATTTAGCATTATTTGATATCAAATACATTTATTTAGAGTTTTGCCCTAAATTTTCCTCAACTACCAAGCAAGGGGTCGTCCATAAAGTACGTACGCACGAGGGGGGGATGGTGCCGTTGCGTACACCATGCGTACAGAGGCGTGTTCAAGCCAGTGCCTACCGTATGCAAACCGAAAATATGCCTGTAACGAATCTTCTTCATAGTAGACACTTTCTCTTACAAATAAGTACCAGGATCGGCTTTTGTGCATAGAAAAACCATTCAAAAACAGTATCCGCTGCTGTCCGCCCCACCATTTATCCTCTAGCGCCAACGCCCCTCACCAGTAATTGTGGAATGTGTGCGGGGGGGTTGGAGCCACTACGTCAGCCATGCGCACGGGGGGAGCATGGGTCTGAAAAGTGGACATTTCGTACGCACGTACTTTATGGACTGCCCCCAACAAGCTGACAAACCACCTCTTTTGATGTCTCAATCGTAAGAGCCAACAGCGCTCTGTCACTTTTTCAGGCGTTATTTTCCCTTTCAACTTTGGTCGTCAGACATCAAGGAAGTAGCCAGTATGCCAAGCTCCACCATTCACGTCATCGAACCGAAGTACCTAGGTAAGCCCGCCATAAGCAGGGGATGCACCTTGCTGAATGCGACGACTTGAGGATAGGACTTGACGAGTTCAGAAACTAGAGTTTTTGCCAGTCAAAATCTGCTGGTCGGTAAGACCAAAATATTCAGATATTCGATTGAACCGAACGTCAAATATTCAAATAATGAATTATTCGAGTTGACTCTGCCCTACCGTAAGTACCGTTCGCACCTCACAAATTGTGTTGCATAACACTGTATGTTCTATCCGTTTCAGGATTTGTGGTGTTGCCCGGTAAGAACTGGGTGCTGGAGACGGGGCGCTTCTACGAGATTCTGATCGAAATATACGACCGCGACAGCCACAAGATGTTTCCGGCTGACATACCGGTGAGTCTCCCGCGGTTTGTCAGCGCTAGACCATCGTTCGGTCAGTCAAGCACTTTGCTGTCCAGTCACGTATGCACAGATTTCGTTCATGGAAGAGATTTTTGTGTGCCGATGGGAGAATTTCCCCCCCACCCTGGATAGACCTGAAAATTTTCCTTGTGAAAACATTTGGTTGCGGGCCTTTGAAAATTATCAGTGTTGTTGAAGATGGAGTTTCATTACAAATATTGCTCACCCGCACTATCCAGTTTTGAATTGTAAAAATTAACGTGCAAAGAGCGCTCTTAGCAGAGATTGACGTAATAGATTTTGTGGTCACAAAATTCCAGTGAAAGTAGTGAAGAAAGAATTCCACTTTCCAATTCCATTTCCCGGGCCGCCACAAACAGACCTTCGGCCAATCACGAGTAGGACTCAACTTGACTTATCCCATAATTACATATAGAACTCATTTGCCCACTAGCAGTGGTGAAGTGGTTTTCTCCGTGTGAGTAAATTGAGTAAAACTGAGTAAACATCCCGTGCTGAAAAGCCTCCTCCTTCCCCAAAGCTTCACAACCCTGTCAGATTTGGGAAGTGCCCCTGTGTGGAGAAATCTAATCTTTGTGTCACTGACTAGCAGGACAGGTCAGCCTGTCGTCTCGATAACCGCTACGGAGAGCGCGAGGACGACAGTGACAGTGTACAGCCCTCACCCTGTGAGGTATCACGTCGTGGAGTTCCGATTGTCGATGCTTCATGCTTTGCTGAAAAGTTGTTAAGTTTTCCTGTTTTCGGAAGTTGAGTTGCGTTTCGCATGTCTGAATATTGGAGAGGATGTGGGTTCTTGGTAGAAATTTTTAATAACATTGCCAACTGTTGCTGCTTAAGTGTTATAATAACAGGAAGATGTTCAAGTCCGAGCAATGTGCATTTTTGAGGAGAAGCGATGGAATTATGCAGAGGAATTTCGTTAGAACCTAACTCCTGAAGCTTTTTTGTTGCTAGAAACTACCCAAAAATCAGTCACAGCTCAAGGTGTCAAGGTGCACATCCAACCAAAGGCCAAATAAGGTGGTCTCACTGTCCTGTGTGACCTGACGTACGCCCATTGCCACAGGCCTGTCCATTCATCGCATTATGTCATGGGTTGAACCACCAAGTGGCGTGTACAATAGTCATGGTGTGAGACAAAGCGACACTCCGTCTGCAGACCTTGTACACAGGATTATGCAGTTCCTGGTGCAGCAGCTATGCAATAAGCCACTTGGGAGTTAAATTGGAATAAAATCTGGTACCCTGTGTTATCTGATTGCATAGAAACGTAACAATATGAATTCCCCAGACTAAAGACACTGTTGCTTTACTTTGTGATTCGTGGCAAGCTTTTGCTTAGCGATCACCAGCTCTGGAATGGACTGGTTCCTTTGTGCCCTTCTTTTCCATTGAGAACAGTGTATTGTTGCAAGGCGTCTCTTATGTAACTAAGCAAAAGCTTGCCCCAAATCACGAGGTATAGCAATAGTGGCTTTAGTATGGAGAATTCCAGTTGTTATGTTTATGTGAATTTAAAGAACTCAGTGTACCAGATTTTATTCAAATTTAACTTGAAAAAGGCTTATTCAGATTTGACCTTGGATATTAGGGACTGGCTCAGTCTGAACTTTCCTTTTGGCACGCGTCGTTCTCTTTCCCAAACTGGCTGCCGTTCCACTGCGCAGAATTCCCCTCGGGAATGCCGCCTTAGAGTGATTTATTCACGAAGCAGACCGTTTCCTCAATGGTAACTTGAGGGAGTTGCTTGGGTTGGTTCGGAAATTTGCTAAGTGCAGAAGATATCTGCTTGGCACCGGCAGGTTACCAGCCAAAAAGCTGTACATTGCACATTGGTCTTGGCTGGTCACCGCGTTAAAAAAATCACAGCAGTGTGTGTTGCAGTCTTGAGTGTAATATGTGAAAGTCAAACAGTGCATGGTGTTGATATTTTAAAAATTAAGAGAACAAATAACCCACTAAAAGAGTGTTTCTGGTAAGAAATGAAAATATCTCTGAGTTGCATGTTAGCAGACATTTGAAAAATAAGGAAAACAAGAAAGAGTTTTTATTGTAGATTTTATGTATCTGTATTGGAACTGCTTTTCCTTTGTGTTCACCGTTTGTTGTTTACGATTTTTAAATTTTTAAAATTTTTAGAGTGTTGACTAACAAATTCTTAATCATCAGTTTTTACCGCATGTGTTTTGGTGTTTCAAATAGCAGAGAAAGTTCCTAAAACCCATGCTATACAAGTACAAAAGTCCGATTCACAAGATTTCTTTCTGATGTGAATGTTTTTGCTCACTTTATAACATTGGTTGCATTTTCTTAAAAATAGTCAGTAATAGCCCTGACAGTCCTGAATCCTCCAATTTCAATGTGATTTTACATACACCCTAGGGGATTAGGTTAACCCTAACCGCCAAGCATATTGTTTGGCTTACACTACACAGTACTACAAAATACTAAGTAATAGCCTGAGCCTGAAGGACCTAGCGCTACAGATTACTACTTCTGGCTAGGTTACTTCCATTGTTACTTGTACAGAGAACAATAAAGCCATGCATTCATAGTGCCACAGCTCTGTATGGTACATTGTCTTATCTATTGTATCTTATGGCTTCACAGAACAATAAAGTCATATCCTCTTTCAAGCGACAGCGCTCAGTACTGCATTTTACTGCAAGTAGTAGTTTGTAGTATTATGTAGGGTTAGGGTTAATAGCTTTTTATATATTTGATATTTGATATTTTACCTTTGAATTACTGTTTGAGTTGACTCAATTTGTCTCACAAACTTTGCAGAGGTGCTGCATTAGTTTCCCGAGAGGCACCTGCACCGCTCATTTTTTTATTCAACATCAATCTGTAAAACTCTTTTGCCTCCCAATTCGTCCCCCTTTTCAGAACATTCGCATCGAGGCCGACTTTGTCAGCGAGTATTTTGATGTGTTGCATTCCACCGTCAACGGCACCTACCACTACGTGCGGACGCGGCAGAGCGGCCTGACGGAGATTGAAGCGGCGCTGGTGGCCATCGTCAAGCCGGTGAGTAGTCTCCTGTCAGGAGGCAGTCACAATGCCATCAGAAGACCATCAAATGTCATTGTTATTGTTGTTATAAATTATTTTTGGTAATGGCACCAACAATTTCTCAAAAGCGCCCTAGGCACTGTAGCTCGAAAGCCTGGAGAAACCCGTAGAGAGGAGACAATGAGAAGCAGTCACAGTTTTAGAGGTGGGAGGAAAACCCCAGAGGAACATTCTGGGTATAACTCACGGAATCAGGTAGGAACTGAAATCCCAATCCACATGTAGACCAAGCCAGGATTCATACCTGAACCGCAGAGGTGGAAGGCAAGGAAAGAACCACTACGCCAACCTGACTCCCCAGTCTTTGACCAAGTCTCACACTTTTCGAGTGAACTGTGACAAAGAGCATTCCTTTGTCATTGTTCAACCTTCCGTGTCTGATCCTTCCAATGAACGGACTTTTAACTGGACCGGACCTGCAGTGAACTCATTGTTTTGTGATGCAGGAATTGGTTCCCCGCATCATTTATTTAATGGAAAAGCTGATGTCATGTCTAATTTCTAAAGAGTTGATGGACAGACTGAGAGAGATAGAGGGTAGACGCTCTTGAATCAAAACAAATATTTTTGTTATTATTTTAACCCCTTCACGCTGGGATTCTTTTGACCGCGACTGCTGGGCTGTGGTATGCCCTGAATGGAGGGCTTTGTCCAGCAGCAGGCCCCATTGAACCAGCAGCTGCATGGTGAATAGACTGTATGTGTGGTATGCACTAATCCTCACACAAAGCTGCGGCTACGTCTCCTGGTGTGAAGGGGTTAAGTTCATGCATAAGTTATAAAATTTCAAAGAGAAAAAGCATTATTTCAAGAATGTTATTGAAAATTGTAGAAAATACATTCCTGGAGCTAAGAGAGTTTGAAGGCGTTCTTAAGAAGAAATCGAACGTCAGTGATTTCAGTGGATGGAAAAGTACAAGTTTTCGGAAAAATAAAGGAGTGTCTGTGTCCATAACAAGTTCCACATCTCTGAGACAATAAAGTCTTTCTGGTGTTTGCCAAATGTGGAACGAGGCATTGATCACGTTCTGAGATTTATCCAAAGTTTCCTGGTCCTTTGTCATATGTTATATGTCATTTGTCATATGTCATACATTTTACAACCTTTGTCATTTGTCGCATGCAGGACGGAGAACTAGAGAAATTCAAGGTTCCAATCAGAGACACCCAGGAGGCTGAGATCTTCGATCCCATCAGGGTGCAGCCCGAGATTCTGGTGTTTCCGTGGCAGCCGAGAAAGCCGATTCCATATCAGTACACCCTCAAGGTATGAGAACAGTCGTTAACAACTCAAACCATCCCAGAGTATTTTGACCAGACAAATTTTAGTGCCGGAAGCTTTCAGTCTGGACGTCGTGAACATTTTGCCTATGATGGTTCTCTTTGTCATGTGCTGTTTTAGCGAATTCTACAAAGGTTGGAAGTGTGAATTTTTTACGTCGTGCTAAGTCTTGTACCGTCACAGGGAAACAGACGAGTGCTGTCATATTACGTAAAATAACTTATATGTCCAGTCGGACTAATTTGGTTCACGCCTTTTCAAGAATTTTTTGTTTTTTTTTCTGTTTGTTAGGCCACTGGGGGAACAGGCACCTACGTCTGGACGCCAGGCAACCGAAACATCGCCACGGTCAATGTCCACGGGATCGTCAGCACGGCGACGGAGATGGGCGCGACCAACGTGACGGCAGCCGACAATCGCAACCCGGCCCACTACGGGCTGAGCAAGGTGGGCCATGGTATTTGTCACCCGGTATCGAAATTCCCTGACGCCCTTTGTCTTGGGTGGCCGTGCAGACGGGGTAGGGAGAGAACAAACTGACCCAATCCAAACAAATGAGCCAAAAG